GGAAAGGGGCATAGTGGGGGCAGAGCCTGGGGGGGGGGCGGTCTGCGGAACATTTTAAATCGAAATGGGAATCCTCGGGTTGCTACCGTTTGCGAATCGCTGGTACAGGATAGAAGCACACCAAAGCACCAAAGACTAGATTTCTCATGGTCCGGGACGCCTTTTTCATGGCCATGAATTTGGCAGGGCCCTACTCGAAGCGGAACAAAGAATTAATTCGCTGTTTGCCGAATGGTGAACTAGTTTATCTCCGGGCAAAGAGACCGGGAGTCTTGCCCAGCTGCGAGGGCGCAAAACTGAAAGCGGACTCCTAGTTCCTATCAACAGGTTCGCCCCTGAGACGTCTACACTTGAAATGACACAGGGTCATGGCGGCACCACCTCAGCACAGACACTCCAGCAACAGGAGGGGTTCGCTCGCTGTATTTAATCCACCTCCCTAAGAGACGGTAGCTTAGTCTATAGGTGCACGAACTATGGGAGAGGGGGCTGCTTTTGTACCCCCCTGGTTTGAAGTAGCAATAACAGCCCCAATCCGTGGTTTCTGCCTTCAGCACACACCCCCCCCCAAGAAAAGTTGTTCCAGCACCACCTACACTGGGGGTTAGCTCGGCTGCCTACCCGAGTCCTCTAGCATTCACAGTATGTCGGACCGGCACAAATCTTTCCAAGTGGCCTCTAATTCTGAGTCGCTCCAGTTTTTGGGTGCTTGGCTTTAGATGCCTTGCTGCCTCTAGCATTGTCAACGACACCAGTGGAAAATGAGTGCAATACACTAGCAAATCAGAGCAGCGGTGCACGGGGGCAAGTCACCCTCAAGCTATACGAGTGAATCAGACCCAGCATGCCTAACCTGGGCACCCAAACACAAAGCATGTAGAATTAGAAGATGCCTTTGAAAACATGGGCCTTGATTCTTCCGTTCCTCTGCGTAGGCTCCTGCAAAATATAGGTTGAACCTCTCTAGTCCAGAACCCTCGGGACCTGACCAGTTCTGAATCAGAGAATTTGCCAGCCCACGGGGGGTCAGTAACATTACCAACACTTCCACTGCTTACTAGGCTGTTAGAGGACATTTAGGAGTGATTTAGAGCTAAATAACAGCACAAAACACTGATAGTCCGGACTAGTGGCTGCAAACAAACTTTATGGGATCACAGGAAACGTGGTCACACCCATGAAAAGTGGACATCCGGCTAATTAAAATCATGCCGGACAATGGAGGTTTCTGAACCAAAGAGTTCTGGATTACAGAGGTTCAACCTGTAGTAACATCGCAATCCTATTATTCCCATTTCTGAAACACACGTCGCCTCCTGACACTCGACTGTAAAGCACAATGAACATTTGTAAACTGATCTTTGGAGGAAACACACTATGGATGTGCAGAGTATTTCTCCTCCTGCCACTGCCACTTTTCTCCTTCTGTCTGTCTCTCTCCCTCTCTTTTTAAGGCTTGTCTGTCTACTCCCCCTCAAAATTCCCTAGAGCCTACTTTTTTTTTTTTTTTTTT